GGGGCACCACCAACTGCTCCTCCTGAGAGACAAAGAGGTCGGCAGGGCCTGGGGGAAGGGCTAGAGATTAGAAAGCAGCCTCAGCCTATAATTTCCAGAGATGGTGGGAATGGTTACTATGGGTAGGATCTGATGGAAGGAACCAAGCTGGAGAAGAAGAACCTGCCCTCCATATAGGAGCAGGCACCCAGGCCACACTCAGTCATCTCTCGGTGGGGGCCTGGGCACAGGGGCCAGGCCCTTCTTGATGTTGCTGGGCCTGGGGCTTACAGGATGCCCAGGCTGAGGAAGAGATCAAGCAAGAGATGAACACACTGCAGCAGAAGCTGAATGAGCAGCAGAGTGTGCTTCAGCGTATTGCCGCCCCCAACATGAAGGCCATGGAAAAGCTGGAAAGTGTCCGAGACAAGTTCCAGGAGACCTCAGATGGTAAGATTTACCCTTCTACTTGGGCCTATGATAAGGACAAGAGGCTAAAGGTATGCCACGGGCCTGCTGTACATCACAGCAGTTCCTGTTCTGACATGCTTTCTTACTTAAAACTCCCAGGAGCCCTAAACAGTAGGGGTTATTACACCTGCTTTATAGAACAGAAAATTGCTGAGGTTCCCAGAGGGTAAATGACCTGTTCAAGGTCACGTAGCTGGTTGCTGGTAGAACACAGGGAGGAATCCATATTTGTGTGGCTGCAGGCCCCTGTTTCTTCCTCTGCATTGTATCCAGTGGCCAGTCCACTGGATACAGATCCTTCTGGGACCCTCCTCAGGCATTCCTCTCTCTCTTGGTGGGATGTCCCTGCTCTGGATTGTCATTTGCAGGTCCTTCTTGCCAGGGCACTGAGGGGTCACCTGTCTTTCTTTCTGGCAGAGTTTGAAGCAGCCCGAAAGCGAGCAAAGAAGGCCAAGCAGGCATTCGAACAGATCAAGAAGGAGCGCTTTGACCGCTTCAATGCTTGTTTTGAATCTGTGGCCACCAACATTGATGAGATCTATAAAGCCCTGTCCCGCAATAGCAGTGCCCAGGTAGGCTGGAGCCCCTTACCCAACCAGCTGCTACCATCCTCAGTTATCTTTCCCTCTAGGCTTCCTGTCCCTATCTCCATCCAGACTCAGATACAGATCCTGACCCATCTGCCTTCCCCTAGGCATTCCTGGGCCCTGAGAACCCTGAAGAGCCCTACTTGGATGGCATCAACTACAACTGTGTGGCTCCTGGGAAACGCTTCCGGCCTATGGACAATTTATCAGGCGGGGAGAAGACAGTGGCAGCTCTGGCCCTGCTCTTTGCCATTCACAGGTAAGGCTGATCCCCTAGGTCAGTTGACGAAGACTGAACTGAGGCCACCAGAGGCTCTGGGGCCCAAGGATACACAGAGATCTGCAAAGGTGAAGATAGTTTGGTGGAATCTGGATTGCATCCCTGTTTCACTATCTACTGCAGCGTATCTGGCTTTGGTTTTTCTGGACCTGTCTTCCCCATCCACCCTCATCCGCTCAGCATGCCCTCACCGGCCTCTGCATGTATTCAGTCCCACCTCCAGGCTTTTGCTCACAAGGTTGCTGGCTAATAATCCCTTTCCATGTAAATCTAGGTTGATCATCACCTTTCACCCCTTCACCCTTTCTCATTCTCCTCCCCTTCCTTTAGGAAGCCTTCCTTGATCACTGTGTCATACCCTGACCTTCCCCTCCTGAATGCCAGTACTTGAGTCTGACTCCTGCAGCTTATATTGCTTGATTGTACAGCATCAATTTCTTGAGTGCTGCTCTGTACCAGACCCTGCGGAGGGATTAGGGACACAGATGTATCAGACAGGGTCTCCGGCCTCGAGGAGCTCACAGTCTAGCAGAAGCCAGACGCATAAACAGACATGTGCTAAGTGTTGTAACCGGGTGAGCATGGGTGTGATGGATACACAGAGGAGGTACACTTAACCCAGTCTGTGGGGAGGGTGTGGGTAAGCCAGGGAAGACTTTTAAGGACAGGTGCCACTTGAGCAGGAGATGTAAAGGATGAGTAGAAGTTTGCCAGGGAGACCAGCAGGCATTCTAGGCTGAGAATGCAGCATGTGCAGAGGCAAGGAGGCATGACAGAGCATGCTGTGATGGCGTGTGTTTGGAATGGGGTGGACCTCTAGGTAGCTCGATCATTACGACTAAAACCTTGGACAGCTTTAGCTCCCCAGCCAGCCTGGAAGCTCCTGAGGGAACCATGTCTTCTTGTGATTCTGTAGGAACCTGGAACACAGGGCTGAGTGCAGAGGGGAGGGCTTTGTTGATGTGTTGGCTTGTAGGGGCTCAGGCAGCTTTGAGACCTGGGTTTTTTAGTCTCTGAAGAAGTGGAGTGGGAAGCTGGCCTGTTTGATGGGTCCTGGGGCTGTCCCACCCCGCCTTGCCACCCCCTCCCCACCTCAGTGTCAGCTCACCTACTGGTTCCCTCCCAGCTACAAGCCAGCCCCCTTCTTCGTCCTGGATGAGATCGATGCTGCCTTGGATAACACCAACATTGGCAAGGTGGGTGCAAAGGAAGTGGGGCCTGGGAGGGATGCCCCCAGGTCGGGGCTGGGTTTCAGGGAACAACTCCTGAGTGTGCCCTAGCCGTTCCTGCTGCCTGCTCTCTGTGCCTGAGAGGCTGGGCCCAGAGTCATCCATGCTGTCGTAGTCAGTAGTCTCCTTCTCTCAACCTCTCTTTTCCCCACCTTCCTCTCCCTACCCTACCTCTTCTGCCTTCTGGTTGTGGCTGGAAAATACAGGGGACTGTTAAGGTTTGAGCCTTGCTAAGTGCCTGGCGGCCTTTCCCACAGGTGGCAAATTACATCAAGGAGCAGTCGACTTGCAACTTCCAGGCCATCGTCATCTCTCTCAAGGAGGAGTTCTACACCAAGGCCGAGAGCCTTATTGGAGTCTATCCTGAGGTAGGGTGGGCCTGGCTCAGGAGCCAGCCCTACTCCCTGCCTGATTTCCCAGGGCAGGAAAGGAAGGCTGCAGAGGAGGGGAAAGGAGGTGGGGGAGCATAGGGAATCAGGTCCTGAATGGCCAGTTGGGCTTGTTGGAGCCCTGCCTCTGGAGGCTTACCCAGCCCAGCCAGGCAGGGCCATTGCATCTGGGGACAGGTGGAAAGGTAGGCAGAGGCAGCCAGACTGGAGAAAGGAGGAGAGTACAGAAGTAGGCAGGGAGAGAAGGCACATGGGACTGAGCATATCCTCTCACACCCAGAGAGAACCATTGACTGGGTTTTGGGCAGGTATGTAGGGAGGAGGGTTTGAGGCCCCTGATCCTGGGGCACTAGACCCCTCTTAATTCTCTCCTTACAATTTTATTTTTCTTTTTCTCCCTCCTCCTTCAGCAAGGGGACTGTGTGATCAGCAAAGTCCTGACCTTCGACCTCACCAAGTACCCAGATGCCAACCCCAACCCCAATGAGCAGTAGCAGTAGTTCTGCCCTCCCACCCTGTCTGGATCCCTAAGCTGTCCCTCTCCCAATCTCTGGATATTTGACTCCCAACCTTCCTCCTACATCCTGGCCCTTTTTGGTGTAGTCATGGGATTTAGGCACAGCTAATCAAGCATGAAGAGGAACAGAGGTGATGTTAGGTCTGGAGCAAAAATTCCTGAACGACAGGGAGTATTCTGGCCTCTGGAAGGAGGTGCTGAGCTGAACAGGGCCATCTGTTCATCACACACACCCCCTTCCTCCCCCTCATCACCCATAATCGTGGGCCCCTTGGGCCTCTTGCCCACTGTGTGTGTGGGTATGTATGTGTGTATGTATGTATCCGCATGTGTGCATGTGAGTATGTTTGCAAAATAATAAAGGATATTGGAGACTTGTTTTAGAAGGAGCCTAGGCTGAATTTGATTCCAAGAGAGCTTAGGATGACAGCACCCCTGAGCTGGGCAAAGGTACTCAGGACCTCATAGGAGTCTTAGGCAGTTACCTGAAACTGCCTTCATTCACTCATTTGTGTATTCATTCATTTATGTATTCATCAGACACATACCAAACACCCTCTATTTGCCAGGCTCTGTGCTTATAATACAGAGTTGAATCAGACATGATCTCTACCCTCCTAGTAAGGAGATAAAATGGGTTCATGGATGACTATGGTTAGCTGAATGTCATATGTACTTTGAATTTGAGAAGAGGGTGATCCCCTCTAGGCTTCCTGGAGGTCACATTTAAGCTAGACCTTGACAAATTGGTAGGATTTGGTCAGGCACTAGGAGCAGAGCATGAGTTCTGGGGACAGACAGTTATGGGTTCTGGTCCCACTTTTTATTGCTTACTAGTTGTTTGACCTTGGGCAAGTCATTTGACCTTCTGTGCCTCAGTTTCCTCAACTGTAAAATGGGGCTAACAATATTACCTACCTCATAGGATTTAATGATGTCAAGCTCCTCACTGGAGGCCTTATCCCTTCGTGGAGCCCACTAGGTGCCGACCCCTCAGAATATAACCCTCATGCCTGGACCCCTGAGAGCTTCTGATCCCAGCTATTAGGGACAGAAGAAGCCTTCAAATCTGGAAGGTGCTGAATGCCCTGCTGACTGGGAAAGTTTCAGGGCACTGATGGGGTCTACCTGGTAAGTGGAGGGCCTGAGGAAACCTGTAGCTTCAATCATGTATGGTAACCGGGTACCTGAGCCCCAATCTGGGTTGTGAGGAAATAGGGGAGAGGTAGCCTGGGCCACATCCCAGCCTAACATGTGTGAGGTTCATTTTAGGAACTAACCTCATTAGCTATAAGGATCATGCAGAGGCAGCAAAGCCGGGTGCGATGAGCTCAGCCTTTACTCATTCACGTACACCATCACACTTCACTTCTAATCTGTGTATTGCTTTTTTGCTTTTTAAAAGTTAAGTCCATTTTAATTACCCAAATAATGCATGAATTCATTCTCCTTTTGAGAAATTAGATTGTTAAAGATAGCCTCATTCAGCTATCAACCACTCCCCCTCTTGATCTTTTCCCTCTTAGTGGCTGTTGTTTGTTGTACTTCCATTTAGACTTTGTTTTAGTGCTTGTACGTACATAATATGAACTCATTGGAAATATTGTGTGTTTAATACAAGTGGTATATTGAATTGTTTAGCAATTTGTTTTCTTTGCTTAACGATATTTTTGAGATCTGTGCATGTTACTTAATGTAGCTCAATACATCTTCTGTAATTGCTGTATAGATTGCCATCATATGATTACCACATTTTACTTACGCATTTCTCTTGTTATGGACATTAAGACTGTTTTCAGGTTTTGCTATTACAAAATACTACACAGGAGCATCCCTATGCCTGTGTGAAAGTGTATGTGTGAAAGTTTACCTAGGGTTGATTCCTAGAAGTGGAATTGCAAAGTCATAGAATATTTATATATTGGTTTTTAATAATACTTCCAAATTGCCCTCCTGTACTATTAGTATTTTTCTTGAGGTTGATCTGAGGTCTAACATTGTTATCCTATATCATTTTCATCCCAAGTAGTGATATCTGTGAAATCACAGGTTTGATGTGTGCTAATTATGTATTTTTCTAATACATATTAAAAGACATAACTATCAAAACAAAATAAATTTGTCTGTTTTCAACCAAAGAAGTCACGTACCACTGGTGGTACTGTGTGCCATAATTTGGCAAATGATGGCCTTTATGGAAGAGCCACAATTCGGGGGTCAGACCTGGTTCAAATTCTAGCTGTAGAAACTTGGGCAAGTTACTTCATCTCTGAGCCTAAGTTTCCACATCTGTAAAAGGAGATAATAAACACCTACCTTGCAGTAGTGAAGCAAAGAGAAAATTAAATATATATGAAGCAATTTGACTGGTATCTAGATCATTCACAGCCCTTTAAACGTCACCTTTGCTATTCTCCCCACTTTACAGATAAGGAAACTGAGGCCCAAAAAGATTTGAACCCAGGTCTTCCGAGTCATTCAAGTGCTTTCTCCACTGTACAGGTGGTTATCAACCTTGGCTGCACATCAGAATCGTTTGTAAAGCTTTTTCTTTTTCCTTTTTAAAAAGTAAAGCAATATATACACAGGTAAAAAATAAAATAGTACAGAAGGGCTTATAATGAGAAGCAGCAGTTCCCTGCTTGCACCCCCACATCCAAAAGATGTGGAACTCTTTAAAAATAAATGCTCTGGGCCGGGCGTGGTGGCTCAAGCCTGTAATCCTAGCACTTTGGGAGGCCGAGACAGGCGGATCACGAGGTCAACAGATTGAGACCATCCTGGCTAACACGGTGAAACCCCGTCTCTACTAAAAAATACAAAAAACTAGCCGGGCGAGGTGGCGGGCGCCTGTAGTCCCAGCTACTTGGGAGGCTGAGCCAGGAGAATGGCGTGAACCCGGGAGGCGGAGCTTGCAGTGAGCTGAGATCTGGCCACTGCACTCCAGCCTGGGCGACAGAGCGAGACTCCACTTCAAAAAATAAATAAATAAATAAAAATAAATGCTCTGGTCCCGCCTCTGGACATCTGATTCAGTAGGCGTGGATAATAACCCAGATAACCCCTACCTCACAGGATAAAAAGTATTACATGAGCTGCCTTAGGCTAAGGCCCTGGCACACACGTGCTACAAAGGACCTTTGGGGACTTAAGTCCTGAGGATCCAGGAGGTGAGGTGACTTGTCCGAGATTCCACTGGTTTAGTGGCAGAGCCTAGACTTCCACTTGGATCTATTTAGTGCTTGCCCCCTGCTCTCTCCTGTCGTGCCCCACCACCTCCTGGCATCACAGTGCAACCCTTGTCAGTGAAGGCTGTGCTCGCGGGAGGCCAGGCACCACAGTGTTTCCAAGAGCAGGCTGGATCCGAGTAGATTCCCTAGGGCTTGTTGGAGGAACTAGTTTGACTCCCTTATACTGTGGATGCAGTAGCCTTGCTATAGGGAGTTGAGTACTCCGCAACAGTGTCTAAGTTTAATTGGGCACTTCCCTCTGGAAATCACAGTGTTGTGCACCAGGAACACAAAGATGAGTCAAATCTTGATCCTGCCTTTGAGGAGCTCACTGTCTAGTTGGGGAAACAATTTGTAAAACAGCCATTAACCATACAGTGTGATCAACACTGTGACAGGAGCACAGGAGAAACATCTAGCTTATGTGACGATTCAGAGAAGGCATCCTCTAGTCTAGGTGGTGACACCTGAACTGAGTCTTAGGGGCTGGTAGGAATTAGCCAGTTGAGGAAGTATAAAGAATTTCCAGATATCGGAAACAGTACGCATGAAGACATGAAGGCAAGAAACAGCAAAACAAATACTGAAGCATGAAGATTCCTGGGGTGGGGGAAAAGGTAGAGAGGAACCAGATTGGAAGAGGGTCGTAAATGCATGGCTACAGAATTCAGATTTGTCTTGTAGGACTGTGTGGTTCCCAAACTGGCTATATACCACAAACAGGTGGGGCATTCTGAGCCCCAACCTCTAAAAGTTCAGTAAGTCTGGGGTGAGGATTTGGAATCCTGAATGCTTATAAAGGTTACCACATGACTAGGGTACAGCCAGATTTGGAAAGCATAGCTTGAAGGCAGTGAGGGAGCCATGAAATGGTTTTTAATAGGGGGACTCCAGATCAGATGTGAACTTAACCTGTTTCTGGCTGGCTAGCCAAGCAGCATGGAAAACAGATTAGGTTAGATGTTCATGCTATATGTGCCCGTGCTGTAGTTTCCCTGTTAATAAGCTTCTTACACTACTATATTTGCTCATTTTGTCTCTGAATAAGCTTTAGGCACCACAAGGGTGGGCCTGGAGATATTTTGCTTACCAGTATAGCCCCTGCAAAAAGCACAGTGCCTGACACAAAACAGGCACCCAGTAAAGTTTTTGAATGAATGAATGCATGAGTGAATCCATTTGTGAGAGAGCGAATGGAGACAGGGCGATTAGTTAGGAACCTGGAAAAAGACCAGGAGGCCTGCACTAGGGCAAAGGCCAGTGGGAATAGATTGGAGGTGTTAAGGTGTGAACTATTAAGGGAAGATGATAAACTGAACTTAATGACTGATTATTGGATGTGGAGGGTGACTGAGAGGATAGAATGAGTACCCATGAATAGCCAGGATTCCTACCCTATCCCAGTCATCTCTTTCCTTATCCATCTCTGAAACAGAATCTCCTTACATCCTCCTCAGCAATTGGAATTCCTCAAGTTAGACAGACATTCTGTGTGCTGTGTGGTCTCTCACTGCCCTCCCCGCCCCCCCCGCACCCCTCCACAAGCCATTGATTCATTCATCCAGTTCAATAAATCTTGGCTAAGCACCTCCAGTGTGCAGTAAGGCTCTTCCAAGCCAGGACTCTGACTCCCTCTTTCCTACCTCAAGAGATGTTTTTGAGGGCTTTCCCAGGTAAGAGTCACATCCCTTATACAATAACTTACAGTAAAATACCCAGAATGTCAGACCTGTAAGGGAAGACTGCCCAAACCCCTTCTGAGGTCCTCAGAGGGGAATTAACCTCCTAAGGTCCCACTGCTAGGAAGTGTCAGAGCCAAAAATGGAACCTAGGTTTCCTTTCTATGTCATCTCTAGAGTCTTGATCTCGATATACCCCATTGTAGATCAGGACAGGCAGAGGTGGTCAGGGAGAAGGTGGGACTTAGGTTGAACCTTGAAGGTCGATATATTGGACAGGTCAAACAAGATGCTTGCCAATTACACTGCCCCCTTGTGGAAACGCTTAGCAAACCTGCCATGCTTGCAGTCCCTTCTAAGGGGTTTCTTTAGCATAAGTTGCCATGCTCTGTACCATGTGACCTCACAATCCTGGCCACAGATAGCTAGATGTGGATAGTGTCTGATTCAAGGGCAACCAATCTCTATGTTGGCCAGCGGCCTATTAGCTGGACTGGCATAAGGACTCCACCTTACAGGGATGGCATGTATCAAATGGCAAACGCATGAAACAACCAGATCTTTCAGGGGGGCAGAATGTGAGATAGTCAGAAGAAGTGAACAGTTAATTAGAATTTAATGAGGCATTAGTGGTGGATGAGGGGTGGCCAGAAACTAAACAGCAAAAGCAAAGAGAAAGCTGCAGAAACCATAAGTAAGCAGAGGTCATGAGACATCTATATAATGAGATCACGGGGCCACAGGGTGGCAGAAGCCATGAAACAGCAAGGCAACAATGGGCTAAAAGGACGCAGAAGCCATGAAGCAATAGGAGCCACGAGGAACAGAAACCATGAGACAAAACTGACTATGAGATCCACAAAGCAGCAGAAGGCTTGAAGAGATAAGATCATGAGACAGTAGAAGCAATGAGACAGCAAGAACCATAAGGTAGCCAGAACCATGTGGCAACATGACAATAGGAATGGAAGAGGCAGCAGGAGCTACAATGCAGAAAAACCATGGATTAATAGGAACCGAAGCCCTGGGAGTCGTGAAGCTTCAGGACCCATGAGGCAGGAAAAGCCATGGGCTAGCATCGAGGGGGGCAGAAAGAAGTTAGTCAGTAGCAGTAGGAGGAGTATAAATACAGCCAGAAAGGAGTTGAGTCACCAATTTGGGAAGCACTAGAGAAGGGAGCAACAGATGCCTGCAGCTGAGGGGGTGACAAGATAAGCCAGGCTCTAGAGCTGCTTTGGATCATGAACCATTTTCAAGTTTCTGTTCTTCCATGAGGCTGCCTGTGTAGCTGTCGTCTTCCTTATTTCCCTGTGAATGCTTTAATAAATCCCCATCACTAACCTGAATGTGTCTTTGTTCCTTGGAATCTAAAAGAGGTTAACACTGTGGTGTGCAGTTTAGATGGGTGGAAAGCAGGGCAGGAGGTCTTCCTGGTGGGTTTGAAGCAAGACACAGAGGTGGGAATTCACTCATCCTTTCCTGCCTCACTGGCACGGGCACGGGCACCTTTCATTCACTTACTTGGCTTATTTTTATCATTCATTCATCCACTCATTTATTCATTCACTTATATATGCACTAGCTCACAACTTGACTCACTTATTCATTCATGCATTAATGTAAGCATTTACCAGTTCATTTGCTTTTTCCTGTATTCACTCATGCATCATTTTTCCATCCATTTGTTCAGCAGGATATGTCGAATTCCTGTCATGTGTCAGGCCCTGTGCTAGGTTCTGGGAATAAGATATACATGCCCTCCAGGAATTCTTGGATTAACTGGGAACTCAGATAAGTAAGCAGTTAAGTGCACTAAGTGTGGAAGATGATATAATGGAAGTCT